GGCCAGAAGAACAACAAACAGCACCGGTGGACACTGATATGGCACGCAGTAGTGAACCACTTGTGTGTCGTGAGGCAAAAAGCAGCAAACATTATGGACATAAATTTACTCTAAGCAGAAAGTAATAATACAGGCAGCACTTAAATACACATCATTGTGTGTGTGTGTGTGTGCGAGAGAGAGAGAGAGAGAGGTTCACTATTGCGGGCCAGAACTCCAACAAACATCTCATGCGAGACAGACATTGGTCCGCAGTAGTGAACCTCATGCTGTTGGACAGGGAAAGACGCAGCGACAGAGAGCGGTTCACTAATGTGGGATAGAACGACAACAAACAGCAACGGTGGACACTGATATGACAAGCAGTAGTGAACCACAAGTAGTTGGAAATGCAAAGACGCAGCACCAGCGATAGGTTCACTACTGTGGGCCAGAACTCCAACAAACATTTCATGCGAAACAGACAGTGGCCCGCAGTAGTGAACCTTATGCTGTTGGACAGGGAAAAACCCAGCGACAGATGGCGGTTCACTACTGCGGGCTAGAACGACAACAAATAGCAGCGGTGGACACTGATATGGCACGCCGTAGTGAACCACAAGTAGTTGGAAACGCAAAGACGCAGCGCCAGCGAGAGGTTCACTACTGCGGGCCCGAACTCCAACAAACATCTCATGCGAGACAGACATTCGCCCGCAGTAGGGAGCCTTATGCTGTTGGACAGGGAAAGACGCAGCGACAGATGGCGGTTCACTACTGCGGGCCAGAATGACAACAAACAACAGAGGTGGACACTGATATGGCACAGTAGTGAACCACAAGTAGTTGGAAATGCAAAGACGCAGCACCAGCGAGAGGTTCAGTAGTACGGACCAGAACTCCAACAAACATGTCATGCGAGATAGACATTGGCCCGCAGTAGTGAACCTTATGCTGTTGGACAGGGAAAGACGCAGCGACAGATGGCAGTTCACTACTGCGGGCCAGAACGACAATAAACAGTAGCGGTGGACACTGATATGGCACGCAGTAGTGAACCACAAGTAGTTGGAAACGCAAAGACACAGCACCGGCGAGAGGTTCACTACTGCGGGCCAGAACTCCAACAAACATCACATGCGCGACAGACATTGGCCCGCAGTAGTGAACCTTATGCTGTTGGACAGGGAAAGACGCAGCTACAGATGACGGTTCACTACTGCGGGCTAGAACGACAACAAACAGCAGCGGTGGACACTGATATGGCACACAGTAGTGAACCACAAGTATGTGAATATAGAAAAAGGCAGCGAACATTATAGACAGAAAAGTGTGGACGAAGAAGTTGTAATACAGGCAGCAATAAACATACAGAATAGTGTGTGTGTGTGTGTGAGATAGATAGATAGATAGATAGATAGATAGATAGATAGAGAGAGCGAGAGAGAGAGAGAGAGAGAGAGAGAGAGA